AACCGTCGAACTACCAGACTCCTGCGAGGGAGGGAGTGGTATGTCCGTCGGTGATGGAATGGTCGTCTCCACAGGCTCAACCTTAGGCTTGACTTCCACGGTATCGCAGAACTGTGGAGGTTGAAATTCAGGAAGACTGTTGTCGTCGACCTTAACCTCCGGCTTGACGTCCTCGTCCGGCTGTTCCTGCAGTCGGCAGCACAAGACGTTCATCGCATGGAGGATGCCTTCTGCTCCCAGCTCTGCCTCGTACTTGAGGTCCGATAATTGGTACCATGTCTCGCCCTTGCGTAGACAGAGACGGCAAAAGAGGTACTTTGCACCGTCTGTGATTGCAGGATGAATGTATTGGACGACTCCAAGGGACGCATAACGACGTACAGGGCAGCTCGTCCCAGGCCTTGAAGCACCCAAGTTCTTCAAGAGTGAATAATGTAGCCTCCGTTGAAATAACCTCCTTGAGCATGTCTAGACGCGGTTGGGCGCGTGAACCACACGCGACGCACGCTCGTAGTTCCGGGGCGCACCTTCGAAGACGGCGACATACATAGACCTTCCGTCATGATCGCGATCATTTGTTTCCTCTTCCCCGACGCGGCCTGGGTGTGCGGAGGAAGAGCCACTTGAGGAATCCGCGTCGGCCCCTGACCAATATACAAGTCTTGCAGTGGTAGAGGCGGAAGGTGATCCAAGCACCATAATCGCGTGTTTGAGGGGTGTCGCGCGGGTATGTTGGAGAGTACGTCGATTCGTGCGCGTCGTGGGTATATGTTGCGAGACTACGAGGAAGACAGCAGCGTACAGTGCCTGCGACGGCCACACCAGTCGCGTAAAGTGTATGAGGAGGACAAGACGCGACTTGGGCTTGGCGCCCGTACTAGGCCTCGTGACTGTGACGTACACGGTGTGACGCTGTGGGACGCCACCGAACGGGCGGAGGGCGATGAGACGCAACGGCCCCTGCTCCCCGCCACCGCTGTACATCCCCGCCATGCTTCACTGCATACCCACATATATACCAGCCCACTCAACAGGGGGCCAGGCCCCCGTTCCCTTTCCCTTCCCCGTTCTCTCCCCTCCGCAGTAAGCGTTCGGGTTCGCCATGTCTCTCGTCCTCCATGCGCCCCGTCCCCGACCCGGCCACTCCCAGCTGCTCGACTGGGACACTCACGAGCTCACAAATGTTGCGCGACAGCTTGCGGCTCCAGACGTTGTTGTACGTACTCTTTACATCTTCATGATTTGAATAGTGTTGACTGACCCCTTTGCCCTGCAGATCAAGCCCAGGGAGCTGCACCTCGCGTTCAACTGGGGTATCCTGCGCTCGCGCAACTTCAGCCGCTTCCGCAAGCTGAAGACCGCGCATGCTGGGTACTCGGAGAGGAAGATGCCCGCTATGTCCCGCTCGAGCACCATGGCATCCGCCAGGACCATCTCGATGACCCTATCTGCGGACGTCAGTGTCCTCATCACGCACCCCGTCCGGCGCGAGACCACCTACATCGTCTGGGGTGCGATCATGGCCGTCGACTCCATATCCGCCAACGTTCCTCCCCGGAAGGTCCTCGTGAAGATCGCTGTGGACGAGGAGGGCGGCGAAGACCTGCGCGAGGATGCTCGGCTCCACGACAACCTCGCCGAGCGCGGCCTCACAGGTTACTACGGCATCTTCACCGACAGCATTGGGAGCACGGCTTTGGTCATCGACGACTTCGATGACGAGCTCAGGGACCTCGAGACACCTACACCTACCTCATGACCCCGGAGCGACTGCTTTCGGTATGCCCGCAGCTATCATCGTCGCTCCCGTATGCCAGCTTACATCAGTCCAAGTATCCAACAGCTTCAGATCATCCGCTATGTTAGGCCCTGTATAATCATATCGCATACCACTTCGTTCGGACCTTGCCACATACTCTATATCCCTTTTTGCTCTCTGACTCTCCTTACACGGACCTCGTATGCCGCTAACACTCACTGTACATCATCATGATTGTACTCAATTGTACTCGTACGATTCACGGTCAACTTGAAACTATCCATGAATTGCTCTCTAACGCGGAGAAGCAAGCAGGATATATATGCATAACACTATTCGCAGAGGTAAACCAAACGTACACACATATTCATGAGAATTCATCCAACACGGTGACCGATACAATACTAAACTCGTGACACAATCTGTTTCTGCGACGCGCACCGCACCAGTGCACAGGGACACTCAATACCCCCTCCTCAGCCTCTCATTCTCCTCCCTCAACACCCGGTTCTCCTCCCGCAATCCCCTCATCTCCTCCGCAAACTCACCCATCGCCTCCCTCATGTCCCGCCTCCAGCTCCCGCCCATCCGGATCAAGTCCAGATGCAGTCCCACGATCTCCTGCTTCGTCTCCTGCCGGAAGTCGTGCAGCGCATCGCGCAGCAACGCCTGCAGCATATCCTGTGCCGCCCGTGCTTGCGGGGATGGCGGCGCAGCCGGGTTGCGCAGCGGCGACGGCACAGGAGCCCACGAGCTCGACGCCCGTGCGCGCGCTGGGCTGGGGCCTGCGTACGAGCGGCGTGGCGAAACTTGCATCGCGAGGTCATCCCGCGGGAGGCGCTTTGAGTTCATGTTCGCATGCAGGAGCCCACCGTGCTCCGACTCCGAATCGTCGTCGTGGGCACGACCAGCGTCGTACGCGTCTGCGTCTGAATCGCTGTCTGCGCCAGACGCAAACACGACGCGTTTGCCCTCCTTGGCTTTGCCGTTCCCCTCACCGGCCCTGACCCACGCATCCACCTCCGGCGTTCCGAGCCCGGCCGCAGCGCGTTCTTTGCCCTTGCTCACGACCTTGTATCCTGGGATCGGCGTGACGGGCCCGCCATCGTCCTCCATGTCTGGCAAGTCCGGACTTGGCGTCCGCGATAGCCGCGATATGACTGAGGAACCAGATACACGCCTCCTCTGAGGCGAAGCCACACGGGATGACGAGCCCGACACGGTAGTCGTAGAGGTCTTGCTCGCCCGACCAACCGCACTAGCGGATGATGCAGGCCGTGTACGTGGGAGGGCCGCCGAAAGGGACTCTGCGACGGAAACACGAGACGCGGCTGAGTTGGTGCGCGAGTGAGTGCGGGCCTTCGTGTTTTCGACGGCATGTGCGCGCGAGGAGGCACGAGAGAGGACAGACGGCGGCCTGGACGCAGCCGATACCGGAGGGTCATCCGCTGGGACTGCAGGTTCCTTCGCCTTCGGAAGCGCCAACAGGTTCTCAACTTGGACTGCGTTACAGAAGGCGGGTCAGCTGACATCGTGCAAGGACAAGTGCGCCAAAACCCACCAGACAAGTCACCCAAATCCTGGTCGTCGGCGGCAGTTACAGGTGCCTTCGGCGGCGAGAACGCCTTCTTCTGCGCCTCGCTACGGGTGGCTACCGGAGACTTGACGGCAGCGACACCTGCCCTCCGTGCACCAGATACCACTCTGCCTGCAGGTGACCCATTGGACTGCCCAGTCGAAGCCGTCCTGGTGCCCGCTCGCCGAGGCGTGGTCGACGTGACCGCGCCCTTCGCCTTCATGGCGGGCTTGTCGTCGTTCGCCTTTCTTGCCTCAGTGGCACTCGCCAAGGGAGGTCGGCGGGTGGCAGGCGCAGTTTTGTTCGTGTCGCGCTGGACGAGGGGTTTGGAAGCGGCGGCTGCGGTCCCCTTGGTGGCTTGTGCCTCTCCGGGCTTCAGCTTCTTCTGTAGCAAAGGAGTCAGAAGATCGACGGAGTACAGGGCCAGAGTTGAAGGTACCTGAACAGAGATGGCGATCACTTGATCGCCGTTCTCGCTGACCGTAACGGACTTCGGTGGTTTGTCGAGTGCACGGAGGTCTAATACCAAGAGCTTGCCGTTCTCCGTGCCGGCGTACAGAGCGGCACCCTCGGCAGAGAACGAGAGGCATGTCAGGGGAGCAGGCATCTGAATCACGCGAAACAAGCTTTGAGAGCGTTAGGGAATGTAACAAAGAAAGTAGAGGGCGTGGCGGACGTACCCCTTCTCCTTTTCGAGATCAACTAGACAGACGGCTCCTCCACTGCAAGCGACCGCGACGAGTGTCTTGCTAAACGGACTGCAGGTAATGGCTACGATAGATCCAACAGCCTTCTGGTCCTTGTCCAGAGGGATCACTTTGGCCGGGCCAGACGGGCGTGTGGTATCATACACAAGCAGTTGCGGACCAAGCCCTGCCAGGAGACGAGTTCGTGAGTGCGGGTGAAATGCACATGTGGTTATGCTTCCACTCCCAGCAGGAATTCCGCGCAAGACGGTGTGTGATGCAAGAGTCAGATTATGTACGTGGATCGCATGTGCAGAGGTGGACGCAAGGAGTGTAGAGTCGGTCGAGAGCGAGAGGGACGTGACCGCGGCTCTGTGGGTATCGAATGTATGTGCGAGCTTGCCTGTCTGAGTAGACGCAAGCAGAACCTTCTGTCCTCTCGCATATACGACCGAGCTTCCGCGGTCCTTGATCAGGAGGGAGATTGCAGGGTCGGAACCTTGCTCGGTTATCGGGGTGTCTTGGAGAGATCCGGTGGTGAGGTCGTATTGCATGATACCGCTAGTGCTTGCAAGATAGATCGAGCTACGTTCTGCACTCCAAGCAAGACCGGAAGGCAGGGGAGGTACGGGACATGTGGGGTCCGCGGTGGCTGGAGGATGCTTGAGGGTGGAGGTTTCGAGTACGACGAGGTTCGTCGGGGTGAGGATTGCCGCCATCGCGTTGTAACTAGATCGTGCGTTCGTAAGGTCGATGTCGTCGTGCAGATTGTCGGAGGGGATAGACAAAGTCCGAGCGCGAGCAAGACTCGGACTGGATGGCAGAGGAGGAGTGCCTGTTGGTGGCGCCCTCAATCAAGTTCATGTTCATCTTGGCGCCCAAGCAACGCGTTCCTCTCCCTCGTGACCGCGTAGAGTCGCCCCAAAAACATGCTCAGTCGTGATGGCTACGGAAACCCATATGGCGGCTTATTGTCCAAGCCATCGTGGCGCAATGGTAGCGCATCACCTTCCTACGTTGGTGTGAGGTGGGGGTTGCGGGTTCGATCCCCGTCGTTGGTAGAGGATAAATACTTTTTTGTCGCTGTCCTCCTCTTCAGCTCGACAGTCATGGAACAGAACCCGTCATCTGGTGGCGAAAGGGAAGTTGATAGATTGCGCATACAAAGCTAACACAGGCAAAACTAGCAAGAAGATAGAGGTGTACAAGGGTCATGCAAATGTCTGTTCACAGAGTTCATTCATTCAGAGTCGTCCTCTCCTGACTTCCCTTTCGACTTCTCGTACTGGTCGACACTGGTTTGTTCAAGCATGCTATAGCGGTTGGGTACGCCGATAAGCGTCATGAATGCATAAGTACAAGCGACACTAAACTCACTTCTCAAGAGCTTGCTGATCCACAGGAGGGCTCTGCCCGTCGCCGATCAGCAGCCTCGCCCCTGTGCTGGGCACACCGTCGACGACGACGTAAATGAAGCCGGGGCCCGGAGGGTAGATGTTCCCATTCGGCGGCGCGGTGATCGTCAGCATCGAGCTGTCCGAGGACAGCGAGTGTTCGAGATAGACTAGGCGCGAATTGGCATGCACCGCGTGCGTCACGTAGCCCAAGTCCATGAGCGCAACTGCGACACCGTCAGAAGCTAGCATACTGCACGGATGCGAACGACCCACCCTTGATGCTAGCACCTTGGGCGGTTGTCGACGGTAGTCGAATCTTGAGCTGCGCGGCCTTTCCGAATCCGAGCAACTTGGGAACTCCGCCAAGGATTTGCGGCCGCTCCTTCTTCAGATACGACGGTCCCAGCCATTCGACGCGATACTCCGTGCCGTACTTGACTTCGCTCCGGTCCAGGTTCGGATTGCTGCCAGCGATCATAATGTCACCGTTGGGCGTGAGCGTCGCGACCGAGTGATACAGACGAGGAATATCGCTTGAGGGCATACCGGCTGAGGAGAAGCGTTGTCCGACGGGACCGTTCGGGTCGTACAGGACAGGAGTGAGCACCGGGTTGTCCGCGTTCGACGCGCCAACCTGGTCGACGACGTTGCCATAGCCAGAGATACCCGAGCCAGCACCGTTCACGATCAGCACGTCGCCGGTGGGTAGGAGGACCGCGTCGGGCATCGTCCGTGCTTGCGGCATCTGCTCGACTTGCCAGCCGGCGGCGATGCCGGCGTCCGTGAGGACAATGCGAGAGCACTGAGACGACGCGGGATCTTGTGACGAGATCTCATAACCGGGCTTCGTGTCGTCGATGGTAGACCCGCCACAGAGAAGAATCTCGGGCGTGTAGTCGTTCTCCGGAGACAAGGGCAAGAGTAGCCCAGTGCCAGTCATGGGATAGGTGACGCGAACACCGTTGGGAATGCGGGGCAACCTCCTTTCGGTGTTCGTCTTCCAATCGTAGATCATAGCATCTCGATTGGCGGCCATGAACACCGTGCCATCAGGAAGCGAGAACGCAATGGGAAACAGGTTTGAGAAGAGGGTGTCGACGAGGAAGGGAAGATGGACCGGCAAGCCGTCCGACCCAGCGATGTTCTTCGGAGGGAAGTACTCGATCGTAGGATTGTTGGTCGTTTGGTTGTTAATCCAGCCACCCTTGAGCGACCCTCCGATGATCATAGCGCTGCCGTCGGAGATGCGGAGAACAGTGTTGTACCAGCGCGGACTAGCCATGCGGATGCGACTGTGGTTCTCGTAGATCCAGCAGTCATCCACGTTGGCAGCTTCACAAGGCTCGAAGATACGGATGGCCTGGAGTCCGTCGACGTCGCCAAAGTCAGCAGCAGCAGTGTGGTCCTCGACGACAGGGTTCCCGCCGACGTTCACTAGTGTCCCGTTGCTGAGGAATGTACCGCCGGCGCAGAAGGAGTTCGACTGCATCGGCAGAGGCTTCAGAGCGTGCGTCCGGAGGTTGTAAAGTGCGGCCCAAGCGGGATGGCCAGATACAGTGAGTGGGTTGTGCTCCACCTTGTCAACGATGAGGGCATGAGTGTCCGAGATGATCACCAGCTGCATAGCATGGACGCCAGTAGAGCCGTTCTGGATTAGCGTCCACTCGTCTTCCGGGATGAACTTGGATGACATGTCGAGGAGAGGCGGGTACGACGGCATCTCTGAGTAGGACACCGCCATGTTCTGCTGCGTGAGAGCCTCGGGCGGAGGAGGGCCTTGGGTGACAACAAGTGCATCGACGTCCATGACTGTGCCTTTGGACTCGCTGCTCTTCTCTCCGGTGTTGACAATCTTGAGTGTGTGCTTGCCCTGGGGAAGATCGAGCGACCAGAAGATGCGCTGCTGGCTCATCGACACGTTGTTGAACATATCGACTCGCTCGGCGAGCTTGCCGTCAAGATAGACCTGAGCAATACCGCGTTTCGGGCCCAGGCTGCCGAACCATTCGACGCCCGTGCCCGTGTAGGTGAAGGAAACCCCGGCGCCAGAGGTTTTAGAGACGCGTGCACTCTTCTGAACGTACTTGCTAGAGAACGACTCGGACCAGTCGCCAGTGTAGTGCAGGAGAGGCGAGGACGAGTCGTAGCTTTTGGCTCCAGGCGGGACATAGTAAGGCGTGAACCTAGATACCTTGGTCGAACCAGCAGTGGTGTGGCCGTGCCAGGCGGACTCCGCCGAGCAGACGGTTGCGAGGAGGGCGACCAGCGTCCAGGGGAGGAGTAGAGACCGGACGCCCATCGTCAGCGAGCGCGTCGCGGTGGGCTGGGGGAGATGGTGGTGGTAAGAGCAAGGAATGCGGGTCGACGGGCAAACAGCTCGGTGCGGCACCCAAGCTGCCGACGCACGATGCAATCTCAGCCAAACAACGCGTCAACAACGCGTCAGCTCGCTTCCGCACCCATCTCGATGCTTCCTTCGCTGCGTTCCTGTGACTTCTCAGTTCTGGACTCTGCATACCATGCCGTCATACATAACATAGGTCCCTTAGCACGCAGGCTCATATAGGAGCAGACAACGAGCCCGCACACCGCAACTCTGCTTCCAACATCCATCACTCACTTACATACCAGCCACCATGTCCCTCGACGTCGTTGAGATCCTCAAGACCGACGAAGACAACATCCACGACCTCTATACCAGGTAATTACCGGGACACACGAGAGGCCGACGTCGCTGACGTTGCTGCAAGGTGGAAGGCCGCTGAGACCACCGACAAGATCGCCATCGGTAACACACTGATGCGCGAGTTGTTCGTCCACAGCGACGCCAAGTAAGCCACAAACCCGCTCGATACGACCGCAAGACTCACCGTCAGCGCCCACACAGAGACATCTCCGTGTACAACAGCTTCGAGTACAACCTCAAACTCAAGAAGACCGCAGACATGAACCGAAGTGCGCATGCGCCCACCCCATTCATCATCCGCTTCGCACCCGCTGACACGTCCGCCGCAGAGGTTCTCTCCCAGATCAAGCAGTATGTCTTGGAGGCAGATAGAGCCAAGCCTGGCTCCCCGGAGTACGCCAGCGCCATCAAGCGTGCCGTGGACCTATTCCTCCAGCACTCACAGGCTGAGAACCAGCAGCTCAGGCAGGCAGAGAAAAAGCTGTCGGATGAGGAGAGCGATGTGAGTGTCTGCTAGCTTGTTTCCGCCGATATTGAACGAGCGAGCCGCCCGTTGATAGAAGCTCGCCCGTGCTTTCCTGAAGGCCCGCCGGAATGCGTCGACTGCTCACTTGAGCCCGAAGGCGAGTTCCTCTCTCACCATGCAAGCGACATCGCGTTGACGGGTTGTTCATGCTTCACAGAAAGAGTTCGTTAGCGTCAAAACGCCGCTTCCTTCGGTCTGAGAGCGATCTCAAGTTAGCCGATGTTGTAGCAAGGAAGTGTATGAAATGTACCAGTATTGAGATCTTGAATGTACTTGTTCATCAAAAAGAGCGTCCTGTAGTGACATGAGGCCGACCAGCTCAAGCTACCACCAGGGTGGCGACTCCGGGGTCCTTGCAACTCATATAGATTACAAGTAGTAGCATAACAAACAGAGAAAGCAATGACATACGAAGCTACCCATAACATCCACGACACACTCAATCCTCGCGCTGTTCCGCCCGGTCGATCTGCTGTCGTTTCCTCGAGCCGCCGCTACATAACCACATCAGTACGATGCCGACAAGCAGGAAACATCATGCACTCACACTTCGGTATCGAGCCCACGCTTACGCCCGCTCTTCGCCTCGTCGAGGAACTTGTCAAGACCGAAGACATCCGTAGAGTCTTTCTCGAACTGCACGGGGCCTTCCCGGATCTCCTGCTCCTGCGCACCCTCGAAGCCAACGCGAGGCGCACCCATGCCGAAGCGGTCATTATCGAGAGCCTGACCGATGCCCTCCTCCGTGCCGCCACCGAACGAGTCTTGGTTACCCTCCGCAATGTTCCCGCGCGCCTTGTAGATCGCCGCCGCAGCGCTCGAGCCATGGAACAGCGGCCGGTCGTACAGGTTGTACGCATCGTCGTCCGCGAAGCTGCCCGAGAGCGACTCCTGGTTGAACAGCCGCGAGTCAAGCATGCTCTCCTTCGACAGCGTCGGCTTCGCAAGCCCGAGTGCGATCTTCTCCGAGATGTCGCGGTTCTGCTGCCGTGCGAGCATCTTCGCACGCTGCTCCGTACCCATGTTGTTCATGCGCAGCTCGCGCTCGCGCTCGCGTCTCTTCTCCTGGCGCATCTGGTCGCGGAGGCGTGCCGACTCTTCGTCCTCCTCCTCCCCTGATGGCTCGGAGTCGCTGTCGCTGTCGGAGCCGTACCCACCGAGAGCTGACTGCACTGCGGCAGTCCGCTCTACCGTTGGCTTCGACTCCAACGCAGCCGTTCCCGCTCGTGGCGCGATGCCGGCACGCTCTTCGCGAGCCCGCTGAGCAAGCAGGCGCAGGTTCTCCTCTTTCTGCGCCTTCTCCTTCTCCGCGAGCTTCTGCTGCATGAGAGCACGTTGCCTGACCTCCTCACGTGCGTGGCGGTCGGCAACGAAGAGTGCCTCGGAGAACTTGGCGAAGTTGTCGTTGATATGCACCTAACGTGCGGGAACTTAGTAGATGCACCCTAGCGA